ACCTTAAAACTAAGTAGAAACAATATTTTTAAAACAATCCTTTCGTCATTGGCTTTCCATATGTACATTAACACCTGAAATGGTGTTGTTATTCTCATAATATTTTCCCGTAACTGCAATGTGTTGATATGTTTATGACGGACTATTTTCTTTCGCGTATCACTTTTGTGTAAACACTATTTCCGGTTTCGGACGTCATCTGGTGCTAGCAGACGTTCTTTTTTGGGGAAAATACGTTCCCAAGAGCAGGGGAATGGGAAAATCCGTTCTCAAGTTGTGCTCAAGTCGTTCTCAACTTCTTCTCATACTGACAACCGATGATAATGAATCTATTATGCTACCGGTAGGTGGTATAAAGCAGTATATAGATGATAATACACTGTTCTCTTAACACGATATACTTTATCATGTCGTCTATTCTTTATGATAAAGTACATGTCGATAAATACGTTGGTTAGTTGCTTTGTCCTATATGCTGCTTCGCCTTCAGTTTTTACTGTGTCGTTTTTGGTATCTTAAGTTCACTGTAATTAATTGAGATTGTATCCATTTCTGTGTCAATGTTTTGCGCTTGTTATACATCTAGTTATGCAATCTCTACTCCCATACTACTCCGCTGTCTGAGTCACCTCTGCTAGAATAATCAACTTAAAAATCTTTGAGAAAAATGGAACCCCAAGGAAATCAAATGTTATGGTAAAACAGACGACAAAGATATAACATCTCCTTTAACACAATATAAAGTATGCCATCAGAGTAACCTTAGATGTGTGCCAAACTGCCATCCATCGTTCTCAAAACAATTGTATTAAGAGGAGACTGAACTAGATTACAATCACTGAAACGATTTCCGTAAGACACCGACAGATTGATTGTCTGTAAAATCCGGTTGAAGTACGCCAGTGGATTTAAAGTCATTACGAAAACATACACTATAACTAAACTTTAAAAGGATTACGACAAATTCGTTCTTTAGATATGATCACGTGATAACACGCTCTCGATGCGTACGATTTAGTGCAATCTTTAACGAGATTGGGTAGAATTTAACAGAAGTAAATAACACTGCTTTCACATTGAGTTGTAACTACTGTCTTCAGGTTTTTTTTATAACAAATCTACAGCCTCATATAGAATTATCTAAAGCAAGATTTAGTTAATTAAACAGGTTTTAGTATTTTGGACTTGCGTGTTTCTCACAAAATATGGAATAATTAAGTCTGAGCCGCCATTGTTAAAAAAAATAACTTTATCATTTGTCTTCCAACATACTTAGCCCTGACTGATACCGAATCTAAACAGGTCAGGCGTAGTTGTCATGACTTCATGGTAATATATTTACATTTGCCCCCGCGCCGTCCCATTACAACAGTGTTAGAGGGCAAGTGTAATTATATAGGCTGTAATTACAACTGCTCGACTATAATTACAACTGCCTGTTTCAGGTGTAGGAATATGGCCGCCTGAAATGTATTTTGAGGCAAGGCAAATGGTTTTTGTAGGAAAATGTCTTAAAAAAGAAAAATATGTAAATATAAAAAATACCTGGTTGTCTGGATGTAATTATTGTTGATATAATTACAAGTGGCCTCTGGCAAATCCCATAAAACTCCAGACAACCAGTTATTGTTTAAATAAATACCCCGCCTCCTGACGCAATTTATCAAAATTGTCTCTTCGTCAGAAGGTACGTTATCGCAGCGTGTTTTGACATAAAACATGCTCATTTATATCCACTTAGGAAGTCTAGGCTTTCAGTTTCCATTGAGGTCAACGTTATCACGAGAAACAGTTTGGGACCTCGTGCTGTACCTACACTAAAGGTCGTCGCCAGCTCAGGCGGTGCGCGAACAAAACCTTTTTCTGACGGTGTGCCAATATAAAATGTCATTTCATACGTGCTCTAGCGAAGCTTGTCTTGCGAGCCTTTAAGCGTAAAGTCGAAAGCCTCGTCTGTCTTCCCTAGTATGGGGGCTACTTTCCTTCAGAAAATAGTCACCTATTTGATCGAAACGATTTTGGAGTGTCTGGACTACGGAGGAATGACAAATTCCTAAGGACACAAAGGTAGCTCTGTCTTCCGAGTCGTCTTTGGTTTCATGTGAAATTGGTTTTCCATGTCGGCTTCGACATCACTGGCATTATGCGATCAATAAAAATAACGAAGCTATTTGATTTGGTACCGTTTTTCTGCTGGTTCGTAACTGTCGGTGCACAATTTTTGTCGTTTTTGTCATACGACTGTCCATCATTAACGATTTCGATACTATTATGACTTTTTTGATAAACGTGCTCTACGGTATACGTGTATGCCCGTTTCTAATTTACGATCCTTAATTCATATGCTTCTTTATAATTAACGACTATAACGTGATGTTTCCCTTTATAATTAACAACTATCACGTGACGTCCCTTTTTATATTTAACAACTATCACGTGACGTCCCTCTTTATAATTAACAACTATTACGTGATGTTCTTCTTTATAATTAGTGGTTCCTATGTTATACGCCTGTTTGTTTCACTGTTGGTATGAAACCCTTTGTAAGTTTTGCCTTTCCAACATTCGTAACCGTTAAATCTCCATTAAAATCTAATCACTAACCCACAACAGCTTAATTATTGAGACAGACTGTTTTGAACAACTAACCCGCTGCTAACTTCAGCCCGCTCAATCGTTATTAGTAGTTAAATAGTCCAGGTATATGTCTACTTATATTACTATTGCACCTCCATGCAATGAATTTTCGTACCAAGACTATGACAATTATCTAAGAAGTTGTTCACCTTGTCTTTTCCTTGTCGTTGTTTAAGGTGTACTCGTGTGTCTTTTTAATTCAGCATAATACTTGACTGTAAGATTAGGGGCCGCGGTGGCTAAGTGGTTAAGGCGTCTGACATTCTAGATCTGCTACCACTAGCTCTCCATCACTGGGTCGCGGGTTCGAAACCTACGTAGGGCAGTGGACAGGTACTGGCCGTAGGTCGGTGGTATTTCCCCGGGAACTCCGGCTTTCCTCCAACACCTAACATGTCCTTAAATGACCATAGCTGTTAATAGGACGTAAAACACAAACAAACCAAACCGAAGGAGATCTACCTCATATCGACTTCTATCCATATACAATCGATATGCCTGAAAGCACAGTTCATGCCGACATGCCTCCTCTACTAGATTTTGATGGAAAGGGCATTAGATTGTGAAGGGTTACTAAAACAATTTTGGATGCAGTAAGCGCATCGCAATGCATATAATATTTCAAACATATCTGGACAAAAAATGACTTTATTGTGCTACAGGGTACTTGAATTGATGCTAAATTGCATTGCTATTTAGCAAGGCATGTGCATTTAAATCTTATCGAGTTGCTAAATTGTATATTAAAGGGCACTTGGTTGAAATTAACTTGACGTTATGTTACATGGTACGTGGATTGATATTATTTCAACATTTTGCTGCAGGGTACGAGGATTGATATTAATTTGACGTCACTGTGTTACACGGTACGTGAATTGATAGCAATTTGAAGCTATTGTGTTACATGGTACGTGGATTAATATTAATTTCACGTTATTGTGTTACAGGGTACGTGGATTGGTATTAATTTGACGATATTGTGTTACAGGGTACGTGGATTGATATTAATTGGACGATATTGTGTTACATGGTACGTGGATTGATATTAATTGGACGATATTGTGTTACAGGTTACGTGGATTGGTATTAATTTGACGATATTGTGTTACATGGTACGTGGATTGATATTAATTGGACGATATTGTGTTACAGGGTACGTGGATTGGTATTAATTTGACAATATTGTGTTACAGGGTACGTTAATTGATATTAATTGGACGATATTGTGTTACAGGGTACGTGGATTGGTATTAATTTGACGATATTGTGTAACAGGGTACGTGGATTGATATTAATTTGACGATATTGTGTTACAGGGTACGTGGATTGGTATTAATTTGACGATATTGTGTAACAGGGTACGTGGATTGATATTAATTGGACGATATTGTGTTACAGGGTACGTGGATTGGTATTAATTTGACGATATTGTGTAACAGGGTACGTGGATTGATATTAATTGGACGATATTGTGTTACAGGGTACGTGGATTGGTATTAATTTGACGATATTGTGTAACAGGGTACGTGGATTGATATTAATTTGACGATATTGTGTTACAGGGTACGTGGATTGGTATTAATTTGACGATATTGTGTAACAGGGTACGTGGATTGATATTAATTGGACGATATTGTGTTACAGGGTACGTGGATTGGTATTAATTTGACGATATTGTGTAACAGGGTACGTGGATTGATATTAATTGGACGATATTGTGTTACAGGGTACGTGGATTGGTATTAATTTGACGATATTGTGTAACAGGGTACGTGGATTGATATTAATTTGACGATATTGTGTTACAGGGTACGTGGATTGGTATTAATTTGACGATATTGTGTAACAGGGTACGTGGATTGGTATTAATTTGACGATATTGTGTAACAGGGTACGTGGATTGATATTAATTGGACGATATTGTGTTACAGGGTACGTGGATTGGTATTAATTTGACGATATTGTGTAACAGGGTACGTGGATTGGTATTAATTTGACGATATTGTGTAACAGGGTACGTGGATTGATATTAATTGGACGATATTGTGTTACAGGGTACGTGGATTGGTATTGATTTGACGATATTGTGTAACAGGGTACGTGGATTGGTATTAATTTGACGATATTGTGTTACAGGGTACGTTAATTGATATTAATTGGACGATATTGTTTACAAGGTACGTGGATTGATATTAATTGGACGATATTGTGTTACAGGGTACGTGGATTGGTATTAATTGGACGATATTGTGTTACAGGGTATTGATATTAATTCAACGTCATTGTGTTACAGGGTATTGATATTAGTTTGACGTCATTGTGTTACAGGGTATTGATATTAGTTTGACGTCATTGTGTTACAGGGTACGTGAAAAATGTACACCGACCCACTGACAATATCATCCTCGTACACGCCGTGGAGCTCAACGAGATCCTACACAACCAACAGTGGTACTCGTGTAAGTAGTAAATAATCATGATTGTCGTGTAAGTATTGGCGTGGTACTCGTGTAAGTTTTGGCGTGGTTCTCATGTAGGCATGTGCGTGGTACTCGTGTAGGTATGGGCGTGGAACTCGTGCTAGTACAGGGGTGGTACTCGTGTAAGTTTTGGCGTGGTTCTCATGTAGGCATGTGCGTGGTACTCGTGTAGGTATGGGCGTGGAACTCGTGCTAGTACAGGGGTGGTACTCGTGTAAGTTTTGGCGTGGTTCTCATGTAGGTATGGGCGTGGTACTCGTGTTGGTATGGGCGTGGTACTCATGTAGGTATTGGCGTGGCACTCGTGTAAGTTTTGGCTTGGTTCTCATGTATGTATGGGCGTGGTACTCGTGTAGGTATGGGCGTGGTACTCATGTAAGTATTGGCGTGGTACTCGTGTAAGTTTTGGCTTGGTTCTCATGTAGGTATTGGCGTGGTACTCGTGTAAGTTTTGGCTTGGTTCTCATGTAGGAATGGTCGTGGTACTCGTGTTGGTATGGGCGTGGTACTCGTGCTAGTACTGGGGTGGTACTCGTGTAAGTTTTGGCTTGGTTCTCATGTAGGTATGGGCGTTGTACTCGTGTAGGTATGGGCGTGGTACTCGTGTAGGTATTGGCGTGGTACTCGTGTAAGTTTTCGCTTGGTTCTCATGTAGGTATGGTCGTGGTACTCGGGTAGGTATGGGCGTGGTACTCGTGTAGGTATGGGCGTGGTACTCGTGTTAGTATTGTTGTGGTACTCATGTAAGTATTGGCGTGCTACTCATGTAGATATGGGCGTGGTACTCGTTTAAGTATGGACGTGGTTCTCGTGAAGGAATTGGCGTGATTCTCGTGTAGGTATGGGCGTGGTACTCGTGTAGGTATGGGCGTGGTACTCGTGTTAGTATTGTTGTGGTACTCATGTAGGTATTGGCGTGCTACTCATGTAGATATGGGCGTGGTGCTCGTTTAAGTATGGACGTGGTTCTCGTGAAGGAATTGGCGTGATTCTCGTGTGAGTATGGGCGTGGTTCTCGTGTAAGTATGGACGTGGTTCACATGTATGTATGGGCGTGGTTCTCGTGTAAGTATGGGCGTGGTTCTCATGTATGTATGGGCGTGGTTCTCGTGTAAGTATGGGCGTGGTTCTCGTGTAAGTATGGACGTGGTTCTCATGTATGTATGGGCGTGGTTCTCGTGTAAGTATGGGCGTGGTTCTCATGTATGTATGGGCGTGGTTCTCGTGTAAGTATGGGCGTGGTTCTTGTGTAAGTATATATTGACATGGTTCTCGTGTAGGTATGGGCGTGGTACTCGTGTAGGTATTGGCGTGGTACTCGTGTAGGTATGGGCGTGGTACTCGTGTGTAGGTATGGGCGTGGTACTCGTGGAAGAGTGTACGTGTCATCTACTACTAACAAAATACCCGGGCTTGCGATGTGTCGCTATTTGTATCGGTTCTCATGCCGCACTATATAAAGATTTATGGCTCTTTTTGATTTTCACTCCGAAAGAGGCGGGGATTATATATCTATCTATAACATATATGGCTCATAAGTTATAAAGACAGTATGATCAAATATGGGCACTGGATCCGAACAAACAAGTGTTGGTTTTATATACGTACTACTTAAACATATATCTATTTCCTGTGTTACAGCCCCCTACACGTTTGACAAAGATGTCCTTTTCACCCTACTGGAGGATGAGAAGCGGAAAATCACACACAAGCTTGAGGAATTCGCCCTGCTTCTCAAAACTCGACAGGTAACTCTCAATATTACCTATTTATGAAATATAGGTTTTAAAAATGTCCGATAAGTAACGCTGTAGAATCATTTCACAGATATGATCTCCGTTTCCTCCAAAAACACACGCCATTTCGATGTTTGAAAGTTTTTGCTGTCATGCTGTCAGTTATTTTTCTCATTTTCATAAAGTTGACGCCAGCCTCGCGCTAGGCGTGCTGATAACTTCACCAAATAGTGAAATTCCCTTCGGTTCGAGAAAGAACCTGGCAACGATATGGAGGTTGTCGGGCGAGGCTGACGTAAACCTCATGAATATGCAAAAGTTGGCAGAATGCCTACGAACAACTTTGAAATGGCATGTGTTTTTGGAGGAATCACAGATCATATGTGCGGAAGAAGAACACATTCTACTCGGATATAGGCGGTTTTTAAAAAGATAAATTATCCATCTTTCAATGGTACAGTATTGAATCTAATTGATCTTACCCAACTACAACCCCATTTGATAAGTCAGAATACAAATAGCCTATGTACATAAACGTAGTACATTATACTAGTAATCCGGACTTTGGCTCACATCTGTCATCTTACCACTCAAACTCTTATCAAAACTTAAAGAGTCTGTGTTCCTGTTTCAGCTTGCTGGGTCTGTGAAGAGCGCACACGCCAGTAGCCCGGGTGAAGGGATCGTGAAGGCTGCAATAGAGAATCATGCATCCCTGATAGTGACGGGGACCCGGGGGTTGGGGTCCATACGGCGGACCTTCCTGGGCAGCGTCAGTGACTATATTCTCCACCACAGTCCAGTGCCAGTCATCGTTTGTCATAAGCCTTAAACACGCCCCTCGTCGGACCATCGGAACTTGTTTTTATCCAAGGCGATCTTTCCCGACTATATACAGACCACACCTTACTATGGACAATTTTGTACGTTATTATCCAGATCTGGGGTTGATGATACTGAGCTGCCGTTCGGCACCAAGCTCAGACACGTGATCTAATTAACATATGCCTGTCAATCAAGTGTTGCCTGGAATATTAACGAATGGCGACCAAGTCCTCAGGTGATTTTCATGCTCACACAGTGTGTACCATTTATATACAAAGCCTAGTATGGTCATATGTGTGTTTTATTTCATTTACAAAATTCAAAAACCAATTAATAAATCTTCATCTTAACTAGGATCACTATGACTCCTGATGAACTTAAATAAGAATAGATATACTCAACACAAGCATAACAATAACGGAACTTGATTCTATCTGGGTCTGTTACAGTCATTGATTTGTCGCAACAAGCACATGCGTACATGTAATAAACTAGGCCATAATCCATGGTTTGAATACATGTTTGTTATATTGCACGTTTCGTTTTAGTAACATTTCATCTAATGAATAAGTCCGAAATTTCTTACTTCCCTAGCTTAAGACCAGGAAGAACTGGATGAAACGGGTTTAGTACATCCTATGTGTATACATAATCCCGAACGCATACTGATGATTATTTACTAAAACTACGACATCGATTGTCTAGGGGACCACTTTTACGATTGGACGTTATCTCGTAATGAAATATAAGACCAACGAGTGTACTGTTGTCACGAGAGAGTTGAGTGATTAGGCTTGTCCTCATGAGTCAGACCCGACTCCTTCTGTACGGCCGTGTGATTGATAGAATATCGTGTAATTGTAAATAAATCATTTTTCATCATCATCATCAGTTTATATGTTTTGTTTATCTTTACTCATCGTCGACGTTGTTTGACCAACATGTCTGTAAGATGAAACGACGCCAACGGCATCAGCAACAATCCACAACAACATTTAAATCAGAAGTAACGACAACAGCATTAACAACAGCATCAGCAACAATCCAAAACAACAACATTTAAATCAGTAGTAACAACAACAGCATTAACAACAGCATCAGCAACAATCCAAAACAACAACGTTTAAATCAGTAGTAACAACAAAAGCATCAGCAACAATCCAAAACAACATTTAAATCAGTAGTAACAACAACAGCATTGCAACAGCATCAGCAACAATCCAAAACAACAACATTTAAATCAGTAGTAACAACAACAGCATTAACAACAGCATCATCAACAATCCAAAACAACAACATTTAAATCAGTAGTAACAACAACAGCATTAACGACAGAATCAGCAACAATCCACAACAACAACTTTTAAATCAGTAGTAACAACAACAGCATCAGCAACAATCTAAAACAACAACATTTAAATCAGTAGTAACAACAACAGCATCAGCAACAATCCAAAACAACAACATTTAAATCAGTTGTAACAACAACAGCATTAACAACAGCATCAGCAACAACCCAAAACAACAACATTTAAATCAGTAGTAGCAACAGCAGCATTAACAACAGCATCAGCAACAATCCAAAACAACAACATTTAAATCAGAAGTAACAACAACAACATTAACAACAGCATCAGCAACAATCTAAAACATCAACATTTAAATCAGTAGTAGCAACAGCACATTAACAACAGCATCCGCAACAATCCAAAACAACAACGTTTAAATCAGTAGTAACAACAACAGGATTAACAACAGCATCAGCACCAATCCAAAACAACAACATCTAAATCAGTTGTAACAACTACAGCATTAATAACAGCATCAGCAACAATCTAAAACATCAATATTTAAATCAGTAGTAGCAACAGCAGCATTAAAAACAGCATCAGCAACAATCTAAAACAACAACATTTAAATCCGTAGTAGCAACAGCAGCATTAACCACAGCATCAGCAACAATCCTAAACAACAACATTTAAATCAGTTGTAACAACTAAAGAATTAACAACAGCATCAGCAACAACCCAAAACAACAACGTTTAAATCAGTAGAAACAACAAAAGCATCAGCAACAATCCAAAACCACAACATTTAAATCAGTTGTAACAACAACAGCATTAACAACAGCATCGGCAACAATCCAAAACAACAACATCTAAATCAGTTGTAACAACTAAAGAATTAACAACAGCATCAGCATCAATCCAAAACAACAACATCTAAATCAGTTGTAACAACTAAAGAATTAACAACAGCATCAGCAACAACCCAAAACAACAACATTTAAATCGGTAGTAGCAACAGCAGCATTAACAACAGCATCAGCAACGATCCAAAACAACAACATTTAAATCGGTAGTAGCAACAGCAGCATTGCAACAGCATCAGCAACAATCCAAAACAACAACATTTAAATCAGTAGTAACAACAACAGCATTATCAACAGCATCAGTAACAACGCCAACAACAGAAGTGACAACAATGGTAACTTAAGAACAACATCAGTAACAACAACAGTACCAATAACAGCATTATTTTAACTTAGCAACAACTTAAGAACAACATCAGTAAACAAAAAACCTCAAATCAACAGCAACAAAATTTGAAGTAATTAACACAAATATAGCAATAACTTCAACGAGGGTGACAAAGACCAAACCCGTATTTACAGCAATAGTTGTACGAACAACGGCGATAAAAGCAGTAGCAAGGACAATAGAAGTATAACATCAACAAAAGCAACAGCGGCAACAGCAGTAACAAGAACAACATCAGTATAACATCAACAAAAGCAACAGCGGCAACAGCAGTAACAGGACAACATCTATATAACATCAACAAAAGCAACAGAGGCAACAGCAGTAACAAGGACAACATCAGTATAACATCAACAAAAGCAACAGCGGCAACAGCAGTAACAAGGACAACATCAGTATAACATCAACAAAAGCAACAGCGGCAACAGCAGTAACAAGGACAACATCAGTATAACATCAACAAAAGCAACAGCGGCAACAGCAGTAACAAGGACAACATCAGTATAACATCAACAAAAGCAACAGCGGCAACAGCAGTAACAAGGACAACATCAGTATAACATCAACAAAAGTAACAGCGGCAACAGCAGTAACAAGGACAACATCAGTATAACATCAACAAAAGCAACAGCGGCAACAGCAGTAACAGGACAACATCTATATAACATCAACAAAAGCATCGACGGCAACAACAGTAGCAAGGACAATGTCAGTAACAACGTCAGCAGTACTAACAAAGACAACAAAGGTAAACATATCAACATCGGCAGAAAACAGCGGCAACAACAGCAACAATAAAACTATATCAATAAAAGACGTAACAATGTCAACATCAGTTATATCAAAAGGCAGGCTACATGTATATGAACAATATGAACAAACAGCAACATTAGGGAGACTTAGGTTTTAGAGCATGTTCATTACACAGAAACTGGTAGCAGACTGTTAAAAAAAAGGAAATGCATTTAACTGGAATGATTCGCATTCAATGCGAATATTGACATTTTGCTTTAAGACACACTGTACATAATTGATTATATAACTCTGAAACGAAGCAATGAACATTTTTTGAATACCCCGTACATGTTTGTTAAGGCTGTTTGTATGTGCGTTAACGACTGAGTTCCGGTACATGTCCGGTATAGGAGACTCCCGCATTGTACACCACCAGGTTTTAAAATTAAGATTTTTTCTCTCGTTATTACACAGTAAGATCGTCGTCTGTTTGTTAATGGAATAGTAGCCATGTTGAAGTTCAGAACAGACGTGTGCCCCAATGATAGCGGATCGTCCGAAAATAGATGGCGAAAAGTTGTGATCGCAATGGATGGGAGTCAACAAGCCAAGTACGCCCTTAAATGTAAGTCTGTGCTTCTCCGACGCTTGTCGCTTAATATCAATTTTCTACCACCGATGACAGGCGATGAAAGATTCCCACCAAAACGTGTTCTCGCGGGAGCATGGGTATGATTTATAACAACTACGAAAGCAACTTCAAGAAAATTGGTTTGGAGCTGTGAAAGGTTATGAAGGTTATGAATTGACATCATTACAAATATGTTTCCTACAGAGATGTGTTTGTATTGCTTGTCAGCAATTACAGGTTCTGTGTAAATTACGCTAGAGTTGCAAACCATAAGTCAGACGGATCAGAAAGTGCTACAAATTACATGTACACCACAGTTCACACAAACAGCTAAGTGTTACATAGCATTCCTCACAGACACATCTATTACACAAAAACAGTGTTACAGACAATCTGATACAAACAAAATACCAGTATATATGTTAAACTAGATGGAGCGCGATAATACGGTACTCGGGAAGGAACATGGTGAGAAAAATAAATGAATACATGAACTCGGCTTGGTATTCTCGGTCTGTGATCTCGGTTAAGTAATCCATGATCTCGGTTTAATAATCCATGATCTCAGTTAAGTAATCCATGATCTCGGTTTAATAATCCATGATCTCGGTTAAGTAATTCATGATCTCGGTTTAGTAATCCGTGATCTCGGTTAAGTAATCCATGATCTCGGTTTAATAATCCATGATCTCGGTTAAGTAATCCATGATCTATTTTAAGTTATCCGTGATCTCCGTTTAGTAATCCATGATCTCGGTTAAGTAATTCATGATATCGGTTAAGTAATTCATTATCTCGGTTAAGTAATTCGTAATCCATGATCTCAGTTAAGTAATCCATGCTCTCGGTTTAATAATCCATGATCTCGGTTAAGTAATTCATGATATCGGTTAAGTAATTCATTATCTCGGTTAAGTAATACGTAATCCATTATCTCAGTTAAGTAATCCATGATCTCGGTTTAGTAAGCCGTGATCTCGGTTTAGTAATCCATGATCTCTTTTAAGTTATGCGTGATCTGCGTTTAGTAATCCATGATCTCGGTTAAGTAATTCATGATCTCGGTTTAAAAATCCGTGATCTCGGTTAAGTAATCCATGATCTCGGTTTAGTAATCCGTGATCTCGGTTTAGTAATCCATGATCTCTTTTAAGTTATCCGTGATCTCCGTTTAGTAATCCATGATCTCGGTTAAGTAATTCATGATATCGGTTAAGTAATTCATTATCTCGGTTAAGTAATACGTAATCCATGATCTCAGTTAAGTAATCCATGATCTCGGTTTATTAATCCGAGAGCTCAGTTTAGTAATTCGTGATGGCTCCGTACAACCACAAGGGCACGCAACTGCCAATAATATTGATATTGTTGATATCGTACCCAGCGACTGACAGTCGAACAAGATCAATATTTTTGGTAGTTGCGTGCCCCTGTGGTACAATACTGCTAATTACAATTTACATACCGACAATGTTTTTTCATCATATATTGTACTATATTATCCAGTGAATATATCAGCCATGTGATTGGTTGTAAGTTTTAATTGTTTTAATTGTGACGTTACGCCTAGGAAAAATTCTTAGACTCGTTTCATAAATCTCGTATGAAATGGAAATTCATGTAAGAACTTGTGTGACACCGGTTACCAGAGTGCTTGTATTGGTACTCACTGGTGAAACCAGTTGCAATTGCAGTTGTTACAGAGCGCTTCACGATGAAAGACGTCAGATACACTTGTTTAAATGTGGGGTTTACCGGGGATTTGTCACAGTTACACTAGACTATTTTAACTAAGTCTACTAATCATCATCTCTCCTAGCATACTACCCTGTAAACATAAACAATCTCGTTGTGAATATGTAAACAACCAACACTTCGGCAATGCATGATGTATTAAATGGTAATTTGGTCCTTTAAACACGGATTGTTATCGACGACAAAGGAAATGAAGCCCGACAGAGCTTTCTGTTAGTGTGCCAGCGAATCACAGTGTGTGTTAATTAAAAGGCTCATAATAACTTGTGTTAAAACGTTCATCACTTAAATTTACATTGCAGTTATGCTAGTTATTTCACTCTCCTAACGTAAATTCGAAAAATTCTGGGAACGTTAAAGTCAGTGTTGTTGCAGTCAGATCGATGACGTCACAATAACGGTCATTCAACCAGATGCTGCTAAAGCCCAATACCATGTATTGCAGTCTGTAATCTGCAGATAATGTTGCATGTTATCGCCGAGAGACGAACATTTCATCATCGATTCATGCGACAAATGCTGGTTTCATTAACTCACAAACGAACTAATTAAATCGCCGCCGAGCAACACGCTACGGGGGCTGACACGTCTTAGGTATATGAATAAGAAGGCGCCACAAGAAATAGTTGTTGAAAATTGGTACATACCGAATACCACGATAGAGCGTTAGATGATATGCATATGATAATCCAAGTCTACCAACTATGTCGTACATAACATACATTATATAGGCAAATTGTACACCACGTAGTATACACAAACTTAGCACGCACGCAAAACAATACGTTTTTAGTACTTTCTAAGACACCAGTACCGTTCCGTGCCAATAAAGCTAAGCAGCCAACACAAATAATTACTAAATCACCACAAATTCTCGCAGAGTTAACACAATGCTTCACAGAGTAGGCTTAACACAATACTTCACAGAGTAGGCTTAACACAAGGCTTCACAGAGTAGGCTTAACACAAGGCTTCACAGAGTGAGCTTAACACAAGGCTTCACAGAGTTAACACAAGGCTTCACAGAGAGAGCTTAACACAAGGCTTTACAGAGTAGGTTTAACACAAAGCTTCACGGAGTAGGCTTAACACGAGGCTTCACAGAGTAGGCTTAACACAAGACTTCACAGAGTGAGCTTAACACAAGGCTTCTCTGAGTGGGCTTAACACAAGGCTTCACAGAGTGAGCTTAACAGAAGGCTTCACAGAGTGGGCTTTACACAAGGATTAACAGAGTGAGCTTAACAGAAGGCTTCACAGTGTGAGCTTAACAGAAGGCTTCACAGAGTGGGCTTAACACAAGGTTTCACAGAGTGAGCTTAACTCAAGGCTTCTCTGAGTGGGCTTAACACAAGGCTTCACAGAGTAACTTAATACAAGACTTAACAGAATGAGCTTAACACAAGGCTTCACAGAGTGAGCTTAACAGAAGGCTTTACAGAGTAGGCTTAACACAAGGCTTCACAAAGTGAGATTAACACAACGCTTCACAGAGTGAGCTTACCACAAGACTTAACAAAGTGAGCTTAACACAAGGCTTGACATAGCATGATTAACACAAGGCTTCACGGAGTTAACACAAGGCTTCACTGTGTGTGCTTAACACAAGACTTCAGAGAGTGGGCTTACCACAAGGCTTCACAGAGTAGGCTTAACACAAGGCTTCACAGAGTGAGCTTAACACAAGGCTTTACAGAGTAGGTTTAACACAAGGCTTCACGGAGTAGGCTTAACACGAGGCTTCACAGAGAAGGCTTAACACAAGACTTCACAGAGTGAGCTTAACACAAGGCTTTACAGAGTAGGCTTAACATAAGGCTTCACAGAGTAGGCTTAACACAAGGCTTCACAGAGTGGGCTCAACACAAGGTTTCACAGAGTAAGCTTAACTCAAGGCTTCTCTGAGTGGGCTTAACACAAGGCTTCACAGAGTGAGCTTAACAGAAGGCTTCACAGAGTGGGCTTTACACAAGGATTAACAGAGTGAGCTTAACAGAAGGCTTCACAGAGTGAGCTTAACAGAAGGCTTCACAGAGTGAGCTTAACTCAAGGCTTCCCTGAGTGGGCTTAACACAAGGCTTCACAGAGTAACTTAATACAAGACTTAACAGAATGAGCTTAACACAAGGCTTCACAGAGTGAGCTTAACAGAAGGCTTCACAGAGTAGGCTTAACACAAGGCTTTACAAAGTGAGATTAACACAACGCTTCACAGAGTGAGCTTACCACAAGACTTAACAAAGTGAGCTTAACACAAGGCTTGACAGAGTAGGATTAACACAAGGCTTGACAGAGTGAGCTTAACACAAGGCTTCACTGTGTGTGCTTAACACAAGACTTCAGAGAGTGGGCTTACCACAAGGCTTCACAGAGTAGGCTTAACACAAGACTTCACAGAGTGGGGTTAACACAAGGCTTCACAGAGTGGGCTTAACACAAGGCTTCATAAAGTAGGCTTAACACAAGGCTTCAGAGAGTAGGCTTAATACAAGCCTTCACAAAGTGAGCTTAACACAAGGCTTTACTGTGTGGGCTTAACACAAGACTTCACAGAGTAGACTTAACACAAGGCTTCAGAGAGTGAGCTTAACACAAGGCTTCTCAGAGTGAGCTTAACACAAGGCTTCACTGTGCGGGCTTAACACGAGGCTTAACAGAGTGGGCTTGACACAAGGCTTCTCAGAGTGAGATTAACACAAGGCTTCATTTTTCAGGCTTAACACAAGGCTTAACAGAGTGGTTTTAACACAAAGTTTAACAGAGTGGGCTTAACACAAGGATTCACAGGGTGAGCTTAACACAAAGCTTCACGGAGTGTGCTTAACAGAAGGCTTCACAGAGTGAGCTTAACACAAGGCTTCACTGTGTGGGCTTAACACAAGGCTTCACTTGTGTTACTTAACACAACGCTTCAAAGAGTGGGCTTAACACCAGGCTTACCAGAGTGGGCCTAACACAAGGCTTCACAGAGTGAGCTTAACACAAAGCTTCACGGAGTGTGCTTAACACAAGGCTTCACAGAGTGAGCTTAACACAAAGCTTCACAGAGTGAGCTTAACACAAGGCTTCACTGTGTAAACTTTACACAAGGCTTCACTTTTTCGGGCTTAACACAACGCTTCACAGAGTGGACTTAACACAAGGCTTAACAGAGTGGGCTTAACACAAGGCTTCACAGAGTGAGCTTAACACAATGCTTCACTGTGTGGGTTTAACACAAGGCTTCACAGAGTGAGCTTAACACAAGGCTTCACTGTGTGGGCTTAAAACAAGGCTTCACTTTTCGGGCTTAACACAACGCTTCACAGAGTGAGCTTAACACAAGGCTTCACTGTGGGCTTAAAACAAGGCTTCACTTTTCGGGCTTAACACAACGCTTCACAGAGTGGGCTTAACACAAGGATTCACAGAGTGAGCTTAACACAAAGCTTCACGGAATGTGCTTAACACAAGGCTTCACAGAGTGAGCTTAACACAAGGCTTCACTGTGTGGGCTTAACACAAGGCTTCACAGAGTGGGCTTAATATGAGGCTTCATAGAGTGAACTTAATACAAAGCTTCACAAAACGGGCTTAATACATAGCTTGACATAGTAGGCTTAACACAAGGCTTCGCAAAATGGGCTAAATACAAAGCTTCACATAGTGGACTTAACCTAAGGCTTCACAAGTACAGAGTGGGCTTAACACCAGGCTCAACACAGTGGGCTTAACACACGGCTTACAGAGTGGGATTAACAGATCGCTCAATAGAGTGGGCTTAATACGAGGCTCAATAGAGTGTGCTTAGCACAAGGCTTCATATAGTGGGCTTAACACAAGGCTTCACATGTACATAGTAGGCTTAACACTAGGCTTCACAGAGTGGGCTTAACGCGAGACTTCGAATATTTAGAGTGACATTCAACAATAGGCTTACAGAGTCAGCTTAAATAGTAGGTACACAGAGCGATTAATAATAAGACGGTCACATAGAGATCTTAAACACGTTGCCAAATTTGATCACGTGTCATTTTATACATGGTGCATTGATCGCATGCTATTAACATACGGGGTAGATTAATCACTTTTCATTTTTTTCGTTCTTGACAGGGTATATAAACAATATATACCGGCCGACTGACAGAATAATACTGGTACACGCCATTGAGCCTCAGCTTGCCAAACACCTGACAGGTGAGTTAGCTCCCTTTGATTCACCCAGGAATAGTACTACATTTGAAAAGTGCAGCACCATTAATAAGGAATATTTGTTAATTATTTAATATAACCCTAGACATCATTCGTACATTCCTTTCTCTTTAATCAAATATTAGCTGACCATAGTAATTCTCATGATCAAATGATCTTTGAAGATAGTGACAAAGAGGGAGGCTTAAAGACGGACGAGGAAGAGGGGACACGACTAAAGGCCAAATTAGACTCCTATCAACAACTCCTCACTGAGTTCAAGGTATTTTGTTTTTGTTTGTTTAGTTTTGATCACTTGTTATTGCTTTCACCCTACAAAAATATGTAATAGTTACATGTATGAATACATTTTGATCAGAACGTAAACGCGCCCAGATATCTGTAAAGAGATGTAGACATATTTTGTTTGAGATTGAACTTATTTTTTGAATTGCTGAATCAACAAATTTGAAAAATTTCATAAATTACTACATTGTCTGTGGTTCAAATGATGCTTGACTGTATGTCATACCAATATCCAAATGGAACAAGAAAGACAACTCATACACAACTTTATATATTTTCCTTCTTGTTTTGTTGCACGGCGAAGTTGATGGGAGAGGTGAAGCCAGTCTCTGATAAGACCCCTGGGAAAGCTATTATATCCGCGATAGAAGAACTTAACGCCGACGTGTTAGTCACAGGGTCGCGGGGTCATGGACGGATTCGGCGGGCAGTACTGGGCAGCGTCAGTGAATATCTGCTGCACCGAGCACGCATACCTGTGGTCATCTGTAAGGAGAGTTCGTCGGATGTGTGATCAGTGGCGTCAAGTCTCATCGGGAGTGTGATTAGAGAATTGTAGTGTCTTACCGAGGTATTACCGAATCTGTCGTAACACAAGAGGCCATCTTGTCAATCAACACAGTAATGCCTTTATTGGTATTCAGACACAGAAGAGTTCCACATGGAATGGCACGGAGCACGGAACGGTGCGGATACATGACATCTCCTCCCTGACTAGTATCAAAATTTATATGTTTGTTGCCTGACTATAAACACATTTTTACACTGTCTTTCTACGACTATAAAATTATAATGACTCGACTGGTTAACTTTGTCCATCATGTCGATGACTGTTCATTACGAAAATGTTTCGAATGGTATTAACTCACATACTAATAAAGTGATAATATTGTTTGGATTTCTATTGTTTTCACATAACACAAATCACAAGTTAACAATAAAACTCTAATTATAATATTAACTCTAACAGAACCTATGTGGTTCTGGTGAAACACACAGTGAATAGTATGCCCTTTTAAACACGTGTGATCACTTTAACTGACTAGAACACTATTTACAGTCAATATGCCACATAGTCTTTAAACCTTGGGGGCACGCGTGTTGCTCGTTTTGGAAAACGTGGTTCACAAGCTGGTGTTTGAGTGATAGTCTTTTCAGTCACTATCGGTGCATGAGTCATTGGCTCGACAACAGTCACGGTGGCATCACTCGGTGGACCAGTGGCACTGTCCACATTAATAGGGCCTTGCTGGACACTCGGTAACGAGTTTGATCGCGGAAGGTAGATTGGCCTATCGAAAGTCTGAGCAACTGGTACGTTTGCGTCTCTCATTTGGTCGACGTGACGTCGCCAGATGACGCCTGGTGACACTTGAATGCGGTACGACACTGGGCCAGTTTTCTCCTGAATAGTTCCAGACAACCACTTTCTCTCTCCCCTATAGTCCCTTATCATAACAGTTTGACCTGCCTCGAAATTTCGCGTGTGTGTGTGTCTCCTTTCACTCATTCTCTCCTGTTGTTGTTCTACACGTTCCTGGACGGTAGGTCTCAACAGATCCAAACGTGATGGCAGGTTTCTCCCAAGGAACATTTTTGCTGGCGTTTCATTCGTGGTCGACTGTGGGCTATTTCTGTACGCCAACAGAAAATTTGACAGTTTCTTTTGTATCGAACCGGCATCTTTTCCGCTTGACTTCATGGCCATTTTAAATGACTGGACGAATCGTTCCGCTAACCCATTCGTACTTGGGTGATATGGCGCAGACGTTATGTGTTTGATTCCGTTTAACCTCATAAAATTATGGAAAAGTTCAGATTTGAACTGCGGACCGTTGTCGCTGACGATTTGTCTAGGAACGCCGTTCCGAGCAAAGATCGTCCTGAGAACTTCAATTGTTCTCTCGGCTGTCGTAGACTTCATCTGCACCACTTCAGGCCACTTGGAGTGCGCATCAACTGCGATCAGAAACATTGAATCCAAGAATGGCCCCGCAAAATCGATGTGGACACGATGCCAAGGTCGAGACGGCCACTCCCATGGGTGAAGACGTGCTCCAGGGGGTGCATGCTTAACCTCCTGACATCCAGCACATGTTTTGCACATCAGTTCTATGTCCTGATCTAATCCGGGCCACCACATATAGCTGCGGGCTACGGCTTTCATCTTAACAACGCCGATGTGTCCCTGATGAAGTTCACTAAGCAAGTCACGCCGTAGTTTCGGTGGTATTATCACCCTCATTCCCCAGAGAAGGCATCCCTGGTGTACTGTTAGCTCCGTTTTTCGCGCTGCGTAGTGTTTGAGGTCGGGGTCGACAATGTCCTCCCAGCCATTCATTACTGACTGGTACACGGTTGAAAGCAAGGGGTCACGAATTGTCTCCCTTCGTATCTGTGTTTGTGTAACAGGTAACTGATCCAATTGGGATATGTGTAAAGCATTTATAGCTTTGTCATCATCGCTATCCACTGGTCCTTCACCTTTGAGAGGTAAGCGTGACAAACTGTCCGCGTTTCCGTGCGCTTTGGTGTGTTTGTACTCAATGTCATAAGTTAAACCTGACAAGAACAGAGCGTATCGTTGCATTCGTGACGCTGTTGTTGTCGGTATGCTTTTCTCCGGATTGAAGATAGCTACCAAGGGCTTGTGGTCAGTAAGCAGCGTAAACCTGCGTCCAAATAGGTAGTCGTGGAAGTGTTTCACACCCCATACAAGCCCCAACGCCTCCTTGTCAATCTGCGAGTAGTTTCTCTCAGCAGCATTGAGCGACCTTGATGCGTACGCGATCGGCCTCTCCGATTTGTCCTCCATCACATGGGACAGTACTGCTCCCAATCCTCGTGGAGATGCGTCACACGCGAGTCGCAGCGGTTTGTTCGGATCGTAGTGTGTAAGCACTTCAGTAGAAGTCACCAAGGTCTTTACCTCCTGAAACGCTTGACGGTGACTAGTGTTCCATTCCCACGATTTGTCCTTCTCTAATAACTTGTGTAGAGGATACAGTGTGGTTGACAAGTTTGGCAGGAACCTCCCATAATAATTCACCAAACCAAGGAACGCACGTAACTCAGATACATCAGAAGGCTCTGGTGCCTTTAATACTGCCTCGACTTTGTTGTCCGCTTTGTGCAACCCCTCAGCATCAATTTCATGACCGCAAAATGAAAGTTTATCTCTGAAGAATTCACACTTATCCTTCTTCACTCTCAGTCCGTACTCATCAAGACGCTCGAGGACAGCCTCTATGTTCCTAAGGTGATCATCATCATCCTGGCCAGTCACCAACATGTCGTCAATGATGCATTTTACACCCGATAGGCCTTGTAACACAGTGTCCATGGCGCGTTGCCAAATAGCGGGCGCGGACGCGATACCGTACACCAACCGATTGAACCTATAGAGCCCCTTCTCCGTGTTGATAGTTAGCAGTGGTTTGGACTCCTCTTCCACTTCCATTTGCAGGTAGGCATGTTGGAGGTCTAGTTTTGAGAACTTTTGCCCCCCAGCCAATGATGCAAAAATATCATTTGTACGTGGCAATGGGTATTGCTCCACCTCAAGTACTTTGTTTACGGTCACTTTAAAGTCTCCACAAAGACGGACTGATCCATCACGTTTCATGACTGGGACGATCGGTGTGGCCCACTCACTATGACGAACTTTGGTCAACACCCCTGCCTCCTCCAGTCTGTCAAGTTCATCACTAACCTTGGGTTTGATAGCATACGGTGCCGACCGTGCCTTACAGAACTTTGGATGGGAGTCGGGTTTTACGTTGAGTTTTGCCTTCATGTTCTTCAGTGTTCCCCAATCGTCATTAAAAACCGCCTGGTATCTTGCCAAGATCCCATCTAATCTAGTTTTGGTAGAGATATTTGGTGCTCGGATTGCCTTGATTGCTGGCCAATTCAAAGTTATCTCCCTTAACCAATCTCGTCCAAACAATGAAGTCCCTCCCTTGGGTACAACATACAGTTTCAGGGTCTTCTTTTGTCCCTCGTATTCGACCCTCACATTGACTATTCGTCTTGATCTTAACTTTTCCCCAGAGTATGTTTTGAGATAGACCTGCGTGTCTGACAAATCTTTCAGTCTCCCATTCAACTGCTCTACATACCCCTTTTCTGTCACCACAGAAACCGCAGAACCTGTGTCCAGTTCCATTTTGTGCTTGATACTGTTGATCTTTGGATACAGCCAGATAGCCTGATTATTACGTTCACCGTTATCCGTAGAGTTGACCTCCAGGCTGGCAATTCCTGCACAGGAATCAGATTCGGGATCAGATTCAGAATCATAGTTCGTGTGATGTATATTTTTTTTACGCTCTGGACACGCCTTCTTTATATGGCCCTTATTATTACATTCAAAACATGTCTCATTTTTCCAAAAACAATCCTTGGGATTGTGGTTCCCTAGACATCTCCAGCACTTACTTTCGCCGTGTGGTCGATAATCTGGTCTGGCTTGTCTGTGATCTGTTTGTCTGTGATCGGTTTGTTTGTGGGACTCGTGTCTCCGAGGTTTTCCCTTCTTCACATGAATTTTATTTACACTGGCCTTGGAACTATTTCCGTGAAGTTCGGTTGCGTCCCTTTGTGCCATTTCTATAGCAATCGCCAGTTCGACAGCGGTGTCGTACGTCAGTGTGGCTTCTGATAGCAACTTTCGTTGTATGTGTTCGTTTCGCAAGCCGCAGACCAACCTGTCTCTCAGTGAGTCACTCAATGTCGCATTAAATTCGCAATATTCGGACAGTTTTCTTATGGCAGCCACATAATCCCTGATGCTCTCCCCTTCCCTCTGGTCACGTTTATGGAATCGAAAACGTTCGGCAATCACTAGGGGTTTGGGATTAAAATGATCTTTAAGCAGTTTGCCTAAACGTTCAAAAGTCTCCTCAGAAGGTTTCTTGGGCGCCGTCAGCCCTCGGAGCAACTGATACGTGTTACCACCCACAAGGCTCAAAAGCGCGGGAACGCGTTTCTCCTCCTTCACGTTATTACATATGAAATATTGTTCAAGGCGCTCGCCATACGAGTCCCATGACTCATTTCCCTGATCGAAAGTGTCTATCCTGCCTATTCGCCCTGCCATCTTTGACACAATAATCGGCTGAATGTGCGAATGATAGAAAGTTTGAGTATTCTAAATCGACCCGGTTCCACGTGGTGTGAAAACGACTGTACATACGATGGTCTCACTTGCCTATGAGTGCCTCACCACCTCGTTTCCGACTTGAATTGGGAAATGTTCTGATTACTGCAATGATTTCTGCTCATCTCGTCGCCAGTTGTAGTGTCTTACCGAGGTGTTACCGAATCTGTCGTCGGGTTCAATAACAACACAAGAGGCCATCTTGTGAATCAACACAGTAATGCCTTTATTGGTATTCAGACACAGAAGAGTTCCACATGGAATGGAACGGAGCACGGAACGGTGCGGATACATGACAAGAATCCAAGTCTGATAGAAGTTAGACTCTTGCTATCTGCGCAAGCTACGCCGAACAGAGAATTACAAGTGATCAAGCGTCTGGTTGAACGAGACTAGATAGAAGTGTTTTTTTTTAAAATAATATAAAATCTCGTCGGGAGTATCTCGTTGAAAGTGGGATTTCGGAACAGAACATTAACAAAATTATGTATTCGTATTCAACGAGTAACTTTGACAGTCATGTTAGTATTTGTTGGGAGCTAGGAGGCGATGATTTGTTGCTACGCGCGGTTGACATTGCTGTAACGGAGTACGCAGTTCTAATACGCATACGTATTATATCAGTTCTACAGTAGGACTATCATAATAAACAAAAAAGGAAAAATTGTTATATGTTATTCAATTAATCACAAACGTTCGCGTTAAGAACAAATCAAAATCAGATGTAAATAAATATAAACTTTATTTATTTTACAATAATTATGAAACAAGTTATTCAACTTATATTAATAAATCTGAGGTACGTGTCTGCATCGAATCCGAATTGAACTGGAGAAAAAATATAATCCACTATGTTTGAAATGAAAATAGTATAATATAACTACCACTGACATCAATGATTTATTGGATAACAGTTCTGAATAATGAGGCTTGAAAATGACGTCACTGAGTATTTTTAAAAGTGTCGAATAGGCTATATTCATAAAAGTAAGACTTTTGATTTCTTAATCGATTTTTGACGAAGCTGTAGTATTAGGATTACTTAAACAATTGCCAGCTTCAAATAATCTTGTGTACTGTTTATACCGCCTCGTGTTACTTTCTCTTCTATCTGCAATGACGTAATCCTTATTTGAAACTTGATACCCGTGTCATTCTGAAAGGATTCATATTTACTGACTTAATTCGATAAAACAAAGATTCTTTTCCTTTGGTCGTTTGCGGTATTTTTTTGACAGTATAGTTAAATATCTTTTAAATACTCTTTAGGTAAAGAATACAATGAATTGTTGTGATATCTCTCTTTGTATTAGTTCAGTGAATATTTATTGTATTACATACATTGTATTGTAGGCAGAAATAAAAAAGGAAGAAAAATTATGATTTTTATATGTTATGCGAACGCAAATTAAATGTTCAATTCACTAGACTGCTCAGAGCGGAAGTACGGAGATCCTAATAAAAGACGCGGATGCGGGTGATTGCGGGTCATATTTACGGAATGCGGGAGATACGTATGACCCGCACGGGTCATAAGATCGTCGCGGGTGATAGGTTCATTTTGCGGGTGTTGATCCGCAGAATGCGGGTCATTTAGCAAGTATGTACTCTACCATTGTAGTTGGATTTTTAAAGATAACCTAATAAACTCGCCCGCTTGTGCAGGTTGTCACGCCAATGAACGTGTTCGTCATGATTTCTGTGTACGCAATAGCTCCACAGAAACAACAACTAAGGGAGTCTAGCACCACATTTATCATTTACCATTTAATGAAGATACTCTTTAACAAGAAATGAACACTACTCTAGACAGGAAATTTAAATATACATGTCAAGCACTTGGTAGCATGCAAAACAGGGTTATTCTTCTATTTTCAAGTTTATATCTTCTGTCCTCCGTAACTCTTATCTTAATGTGAATATTTCTTTTGAATGTCATCTTCTGTTTCACATAAGTGACGATGCATAGGTTTGTGGAAAGCTTTAAAATGTTTTAATCTTAGTTTAATTCAAAAGCTTTACGACAATCAAATATATTTGAAGTTGCAAACATCCAGGAGATGGCGCGAATTAGCAGGAAAGAACAACTGCCACTCTAAGGACTATATTATACAATTATGGACTTCAGGTGAGGTCTATCCCTGATTTATGAACCTGGTCTGAACAATATTCACAGAGGCTGTATCCCGGATTTCGGGACCTGGTCTGAACAATATTCACAGAGGCCGAAGGTCGAGGTGAATATTGTTCAGACCAGTTCCGTAAATCAGGGATAGACCGAAACTGAAGTCCACAATTGTTTTATTATATGTCATTTTGCAATGAGATTAATCATTTTGCAAGTCATAAACACATTGGTGGCATGAACCATTTTGGTTCCACAGAGTGAAGGACTTCAAACACATATAACATACACAAAAATTGAATTTTAGATTCAATTCATGTGATACTTAATTTAAAGTAAATATTATTCGCACAATCAACATCATCAATATTCACATTGTTCAGAATTTGATGAGATGATTCATTTGTAGTTAAATTCAGTAGTGTGGTTGGTAACAGAATTACAGACTGTCTGGGAAATTACCTCGGCCTAATTTTAGTAGCGGTCTGTAACACTTTTCTATTTATAGGTCGAGGTCTGTAACACTTTTCTATTCATAGAACGAGGTCTGTAACATATTTACAGACTCGTCACATGACGTCGCTCCTCCAATCAGGGCTGGGAATTAGCACCAGTCATATAATAATATATGTTTCGGCAGGGGAGAGAACTCGTTGCCTTTTTCATTAAGTAGAGCATTCATGCCATTGTTGACATCATGTTTATTCGCTTCTATATCCTCGACCTGCAGGGGAACAAAAACACATGTAATTACTTATAATCTTAACAAACATGTTCTGCAAATAAACATCGATCGAAATAGCTTTCAAAGGTCACACTATGGCCGAGTGTGTCTATTTTCCACTTCTCCCTCCTTCAATAGATGCACTAAGGTAATTATTACTAAAGTCTCCGCAATGAACTGGCAAATGGCAACAAAGAAGCACGTTACCTTTAACCAAACTCGCTTGTATAGTACCAAGTATATCAACATTTTGAAATCAAAGAGTTCTGCTCTCGATATACAGTTCTTCTCTATACACCAATGTAGAGAAGAAACATCTGGCGAGAACCCTTGAGTTTCGAAGATATAATTCTACCTTTGACGGCAACAACCTGTCGATCAATAACATATACATTCTGAATTTCGTCACATATCCGGTTCACAAACTGCTTGTTTAAAATACATGATCCTCTTCAAACTCCGACTGTAAATGCATTTCAACTGTTGGTAAAATAACATTATAACAATGGACAGTGTGTTAAAACTTAAGGATTGCAGAAGTTGAAGAGCAGGCTGATACACCTCTGCAAAGGAATGAAACTAAACGAAAAGTACCCGTTGTTTTGGCAATGGAAAGAGTTATTGATTTCAATTAAATCTAAGATGGGAAATATTAACTTATAGAGATGCATAAAATCTTCATCTCTAGAAGAATAAGCATCAATAGTATATCATTAAAACGGAGTTATATTTTTGCTAAATTTGGGAAAGGTTACTTATCGTCATTGAAGTATGAATTTATCCATATTCGACATAGTAGCTTAGATGTAATTCATACATAAGGTTAGCATGAGGTTAAAAATTAAATAATGGTGGACATTTAAGAATTACCTGAACTTTGATCATAAAACCATGTATCATTTCCTATCACAGTTTATACTTCAAATGCATTCTTTAACAATTCTAGTATATATCCTCCATACTCGTGATATCGAAGATATGAAGATGATACGAGTTTACTAATATACTGTATCGCTAATAAATAGACACAAAGTGGTACAGAATAAATACCGGCATATATTTCAACGGAAAAAGTTAAGTACAAATACTCTGCATCTATACCTTTGGAAAGATGTTTTTCTGCTGAAAAATGTGGAATATCGGCCCTAAACTTTTATAATGATTTATAACATATGATAATATAGGCTTCCATATTTTTTAGCATGGCAATGCTTTTCCTGTTGTTCACTGTTGACTAACCCCAGGTGTTAAAGCTATCCTCTCCATGTAAAAATCTCGATATTGACTAAGTAACTGGTGTGGTACATCAATGCGTTCATTCGAGTTGTCTCTCTTCCCACCGCACAACAAGCCGCTCAGCGGTATGAAACTATAAGTAATACGGGAATGAATCAGAATCCTTTTTAGCTAGTAAAACTGCGCATGCCTTTAAGTTTGTGTACAAATATCATTGGCGAAAGGACATAGTATGTTGTTGAATCACTGCGGATCATATAATTATGTTTTAGGGGATATGAAGACAAAACTAACCATTTCAAAAAGACGTGTCTTGGACAGTTGAACAAAATTGGTACATATGTAAAGATATGCAGGTTTCGAGGGAAAATGTAGAAGATCTTAAATACGCTTTTCTTTCGTAGATCCTATAGGTAGCAGAGTACAGTAGCGTACGGTGGCCATGGGTGATATGTTTATACAATGAATAATCCCTGTAAAATAAGATGTATCAAAATTTAAAAAAAAACATCAGCACTAAAATTGGCATATACATCATGTACATGATGAAGTGGACTGTGGGCTTCATAATTTAAAAAAAAAAAAAAATCGAATTTGGTTTGAGACTACAGTTTTGGGCATTTACAAATCTGTGTCTACACAACAAAAGCTAGCTTTTCATGTAGTCTATTTTTGTACTCATCACATGTGTAAATATTATGAAAAATCCACCAGGATGACCTATGCTAAAACGTGAGTATTTCTGTTACCGAATAGGCGATATTTAATTTCAGACAAGTTTTAAGAAAAAAAAATCCACCTGCTAGGGTCAAATTTTTGGTTAAAAATCATGATATTTTTCATATTTTGGTGTTT